AAATTTATTTCTAGGATAACCTAATGCTATCTGAAAAAAAAGTAAGGGAAAAATTACTCTACGTGTAGGCTTCCAGAAGGTAAAAAAAGGTAGGATTAAGTCACCTTTTTAAAAAGGATTAAATAGTAGTTGTATTATGCACAGCTGGCTCAGTGCAACACAGAAATGCTGCAAAGAAGAAAGGAAGATTGTAAGTTTCTGTCTATGATTCATATATTTCAGTTGGTTGCGTTGCGTCCTTCGTAATGAATGCAATGCATCACCTAAAGCACTTAAATTGAGACTGGGAAATGACAGTTGTTTCTCCCCTTACCAGTGCTTTACCACCACCAAACACTACATCTTGTTAGGACAAAGACTTCAAGTATTTACTAACAATGCATCAGTTTTCCATTCAGCACAGAAAACAATTAACAACTTGGCTAAAAAGGTTATAACTTTCTATGGGACCCATAATGTCATATGCTGTGGAAACATTGGTATGTTTTCCATAGTTATCCATTACTACAGATTTGAAAAAGGAATAATGTGTTGTATAACTATTTTCCATACAGCAGCAAAACCACACTTCATTTCTTCACACATTCAGAAAAGTTTTACTGCTACTGAACAGATCCTGATCTTCACAATAATGTAGCTTTTCAAATGTTTTCTTCTAAAATTGCTAGAGAACATCTCTACAATTAATATGTATTTTTACATTGACATGTCAGACTCTCCTAAGTTACAGAACTCATTCCATCAGTGGAATAAAAGTCACGTCAAGACGGTAATATGTCATTAGTTCTCGATTCTGCTTTTGCACAAGTGTCTGACAGGACAGCAGGAGCCCCCCAAAGTACCAAGCATACAATGAAAGCAGAACCTCTGAGAGCACGGCACGTGACAACTTCAGATGACACAGTGGACAAATATGAATCTAAAATGGTCTGTTACTGATGCAGCCTTTTCAGCTGGCTAAGTCTTTGAGTACAACATAAAGGACAAAGCTCATGTGTAAAATACTCCATATACAGCAAAAAGAGGAGATAAGAAGAAAACATAAAAAGATAATTGCCTCTAAAAGAAAAAGAGCAAAGGAAGGACAAAGTGAGCAGAACTGGTCCAGCATGGCCATCCCCACTCAAGTACACCACACCAGATCAGCCTACTTATCTACACAAGTCCTCCTTCACCCTCAGTGGAGAAAAAGAGGTGGGTTTTGATTTCCCATCCACCATATTTTGTCAATGCAACTCAACAATCGTACATAAAACATTTGATTTTGCTATCTAACTGGGTGGCAGAACAGTGTGTGTACAGGTGCACGCTTTCTGCTTCAGCCTTCCCATACAGTAAGACCGATAAACGCAGCACTGAGTCTGAGCAAACTCAGAGACAGGAACTGACTGAGCACAACACAGTGTTCTCTGTCTGGGACTATTATTTTGACTGATTGTGTATGTGAGTAAGAATCCCCGAGACTGAGTAGAGCTGTACATCTGCATGGGCACGTATGCTTTGCTGAGAACCTTGCTAAAGCTGAGAATAAAGTAACCATGTTAGACAGCTTCCAGAAACCAGCTTTTCAGAATGCCATTTTGATTCGGTCCTTTCAAAGAAACAAACTGTACTTTCAAATCTAGTTTATGTTACAGAGAGTCTTTGACTGCATGTGCCCTCTTATTTTTTTTTATTTAACTCTCAATAGCAGAACTGCCAAGTTCCCTCCCACCTTCCTGATTTTTTTCTTGTAAGCAATTTTTTTTTTTAGTTATGTTGTTTAAAATGCAACATTGGCAATGAGATATTGCTAGAGGCTTTGGACTGATGCCTTCTGAAGCTTCCACTTTTCCTGACTTTTACTAGCAATAAAGAATTTGTTTCTAGAAACATGTAATTTTAATTACAAAATTACCCCCAAAACATAAATGGAATTTAATTGGTTACAAAGTAATATTTTCACATAATCAAGGGATTGTTTAGGGGATTTAAGGCATAATTTATTAGTTCTGGATAAGGTACACATTTTGATTCCTACAGGCAAATAACAAACTGATTAGTAAGTGTAATAAAGCAATTTATTTGTCTGAAAATTGGCAGCTAGAAGTGCAATAACTTACTTGATCAATTGCCATTTTAAAGAACATTAAAGCTTTTCACAATTATGCTATCTATATGGTATGCAGATGAACAACAATACAGCATTACCCCTGTTACACTAGTGATTTAATATGAAGTTTCTGCCAGGTTTTGTACCTTTCTACATAATGCAAAAGGAAGTAATTACTTTTTGTACTGAAAGATTGAAGAATTTACTCTCTTTTAGATATGCAAAGAATTTGACTAGAGGAAGAACTACAGATAATAGCTTCTCTCCATCACATTTTTTCTGATTTTCAAAACCATGCATGTCAGTTTTGAGAATCTTAGCTTTCCAGTCATTCAGTTCTTCAGAATTCTGTAGTTGTCAAGTGAAGATAGACATGCATCAGAAGAAGCACGGCTAGCAGGTCAAGGGAGGTGATTCTGCCCCTCTACTCTACTCTCATGAGACCCCACCTCTTGAGTACTGCATTCAGCTCCAAAGCCCAAACCATGACAGCAGGAAGGTCATGGGTCTGTTAGAGCAGGTCTGGAGAAGGGCCACAAAGATGATCTGAGGGCTGGAGCAGCTCTCCTATGAGGACAGGCTGAGAGAGCTGGGGTTGTTCAGCCTCGAGAGAAGAGAAGGCTCCAGGAAGACCTTATTGTGGCCTTTCAATACTTTAAAGGGGGCCTATAGGAGAGATAGGGACAGACCTTTTAGCCGGGCCTGTGGCAATAGCACAACGTGTACTGGCTTTAAACTGAAAAACTAGATATAAAGAGGATATTTTTTACAGTGAGGGTGGTAAAACACTGGAACAGTTTGCCCAGAGAGGTGGTAGATACCCCATCCTTGGAAATATTCAAGGTCAAGTTGGACAGGCCTCTGAGAAACCTGATCTAGTTGAAGATGTCCCTGCTCATTGCAGGGGGATTTGACTAGACCACCTTTAAAGGTTCCTTCCAACCCAAACCATTCTATGATTCCACCTCTTTCTGGCAGGAAGCTTTTCCAATTTGTTACATACAATGAAGTTCTTCTCATATTCTTTAATTCAATTACTTTATCAGCTAACATCAATAGCTAACATCTTTGGGAGACCAGTTCTCTTGATGGCCCAGCCTCACTGAATACAGTGGACCTCAGCCAACACAGGAAACCACCACAGAGCCAATAAATGACATGCACATTTCAGACAGACATTATACAGTGGAAAAAACTATGACAAATGTATAAGATCACCTTTTTGAGATCAAACAATACTTCAGTGACCTAAGAAAGGAAATATTTACCAGTCAGAAGTTCAGATGAACTACAGTACACTGCCTTGAGAAGATCAATGAAGACTGTCTTGATTCCCTACTGTTTTACTGAAAGAGTCTTACTCAATTAAAAAGGAAATTAGGGGGAAAAAATTAAAAAAAAAAAAAAATCACACAAGTTTCAAGAATAAGTTGAAAAATTAAACTCAAAGACAAATGAGATAGGATATACCATAACATGCAGAGACACCTAAACACAAACACATTCAGAGAACAGTCATTCTCATTTCAACTCAAAGTACATTAGCCCCATTCTTCTACTACTCTCAAAGAATCTCATTTAAAACAGATTTACAAAGGCAATCTAGTTTAAACTCTTTGGCAGAGAATCAATTCTGGAAAGCTATTTTGTGCTATATGAGAAAGGTCAAAAACCTTGTTAAAATTCTAACGAAATTTAAGTTTTAATGACTGGAAACTTATGTTCTGTATCACTGAAAACTGTTTCTATTTTATTACCATTTCTCATTAAGCCAATCTACAAAAGTACAGGCTACTAGTAAGAAGCTCAATATATTTAGATTTCTAACAATGTCCTGAGAGACCTTACATAAAATACTTATTACGAAAATTAAATTAAGAAGTCATACATTCCCCTTCAATGCTATGATTTTTCAAAAAAAGGTGGAGGAGTGCTAAGGAAAAACCAAAATTCATTCTGCGGATTCTATTCTGCTGTCAAAGTTGTGAATCATATATCAATTAGCTTGTATTTTACCTCATTTCCTGAAAAATGAGAGCACATTTTCCTAGCTTTCTAATACCAAAACAATCTGCTGCCACTAATGACCTCAATCATTTCCTATCTTAGCATCCTACTATCTTATTAATGGAGAACTGAAGTACAAGGTAAAGATAGCAAATTGTACCAACAAGCCTGTGGCTGTTGTGATTTCTTACGTCTGTCTCAGACAGTTTACCCAGCGGTTCCTCTTGTTGCTTTTGATAACTCTACCATTCCCCTTGCATAACACAACTTCTGCCAACTCTTCCCCTTCACGTATTGCTTTTCTCAGAAATCTTTCTGGTTCCTGTGTATATTCCCAGTCCTCAAATGCAGTGATGACCAGGAGGATCTATGGTTGGAGGCTTCCCACTTCCCCTTTTTCCCCACCAGTTTGCAATGCCAACAGATTTTAGGAAAATTTAGCATTAATACAGAGAATGTATTGCCACCTTATTCAGGACTTGCATATAAGTTTGAGATGAAAACACAAAGTTTGCATGTCAACAATGCAATACACTCTTTGACTATTATTAATAAACACTAAGAGAGCTACTCTAACATTAAGTGAGAATTCTGCACGGGAAAAAAAAGTCAATTATCATTATGTAATCTATCTTTCAACAAATTGTTGATTAATTCAATCTCTTGGTGATAGTCTCTATGGCAATAATTATTCCCTGTAGCAAATAACGCCTGCAGCATTTAAAAATGTCTCCCTCCCCCATCTGACCTCTCTCCATAACATGGATTCTGAATCTGTTCTACTTAAAAATTCACATAAAACATTTACACAGTTGCTAGACAAATCCTTATTTATCATTCATGATTTTACACTGTACAGTACAAAGAACATTACAGAGTTGCATTGCTGTATAGTACATACCCCGTGCTCTTTAGCAGCCATAACCACTTTTGAAAGAATATCTTCTTCAACAAATGGCCTCACAGCATCATGGATAATCACTACTTCCGGTTTCTGGAGCAGATGGTTGGAAAATTCATCCTCTGCAAATACTTTCAGTCCATTGAAAATTGACCGGTGACGAGTTATTCCACCTTTAACTACCGTAACTCTTTTATGGCCATATTTTTCAATGATAGACTTCATTGTTTCAATATTTTCAGGAGAGACCACCACAATAATGTTGGATATCCAATCTATCCTAGAAGAAACAGTACAAAACCAGAGAAAGTAGACATGAACGTCGAAATAAAAGTATCTTAAATAAAGTAAAAACTCAAAAATAAAATATCACCATGAAAAAAAAGAAATTCGTATCAAAAGAAGTTCAAGATGGCTAAATAAAGCATCTTTTAATATACTTGAATCTACGCTTTTGTGTGTCTAAAAGGAGAGCTACATGAGAGGATCTCCACCAATACATGGATGTCAACCAAAGGAACTGGAATTCTGGGAAGAGACTTGCTTCCAACAACCAGTTGGAGAGGGGGGCCAGGTAAAGCACCTTCTGATAACCCTTTGAAAAGCCTTCAAAACTATTCTTACTCCAGCTTCGTTCCTACCTTCAAACTTAACTTATAAATCAATCAGCTACAGTCTGTTATTTCTGTTGCTTTAGCTTTCTCTAAATTCAGTCTCAAGTAAATTGGTAAATCCTGGAGTAACTGGAATACTCCATGTTCTACTGCGTAGCATGCTGCGTACAAGTGAATAGGAGAATCAAGAAAAGCTCTGAAACTAAGATCGCTATCAAGACAGGCATGAGCAGTAGTTGACAGATTGCTAATCAAAACTGTGACACTTGAATATTGACAAGAAACATTACACTGGTAGTTTGCAAAAAAAATATATGTATACACACATAAAAAGGTTTCTGCTCTAGGAAGCTAACAAAAATGTAAAGCATAGCTACGCTAAGTAAAATTATCGTAATACGAAAGTGCATTTTTAGGGAACTTCAAGCTTCTGGTATCAGCCTGGCTCTCTAATTGAGGGTTGGTTTGGGGGGAGAATTACCCACAACCCACAAGATTAAAACCAGTCATAACTGAAGTTAAACTGAAGTCATGCTCATGTCAAAGGACATAGGAATACAAATTATAGTCACATGTGGCATACTGTATTTCAAAATAAAGGAAATACCATAATTCAAATCCAGCCATTTGAGTGTCTTATTTCCTAAATATAATGTAGAGAGCATTAAAAAAAAAAGGATTTAAAATTGTTTTATTTCCTTTCTGTGTCTCCACAGATGGCAGGGGGATTTTTTAGCATGACAGAGAAGAAACTCATCAGATGAGCAATGGATTACAAAAATAATTTACCATAGTAAAATCACTCATGTGTAGGCCATACATCCAACTAAGATGGAAGAGAAGCAAGTACGGTATGTTCTTGTCACTAAAACCAGTAAAGCTATTGAAACTAATTTTGCAGACACAAGACGGACTAAGGTACTAAATACTTCCAGCTAGAAAAATAGAAGAAATTTACAGCTCAGAAATACCCAGGCTCAAGCTACTGGTTTCTGCAATAACACATGAGAAGGCATTGCCTAGGAATTACCCTTACTCCAAAAGCAGAGTCATCTGTGATACAAACCACTCCCCTAAAACTATGTGAAACAGCACAGCATCTTCCACCTTCCGTATGGGGTTTTTTTGGAATTAATAGAACTCCACGGAAATTATTTCAATTAATTTTAAAATAACTAATAAAAATAAAATAAGTGGAAGTGCTATTAAGATTCTTCAAAGAAAAATATTTGTTAATAATAAAATAAGCATAAGGACAAAGGCAGAAAATACAGCCAAACCAACATATTCTCAGCATTTTTTAAGTACTGAAGTTGTTCAAATGTAAGATCTGAAGTCATATGGCTTCAAGTTTCATTTCAACTTGTCACTCACCACAGGTTCATCAAAAGGTTTTCAAATCTCTTAAATGAGTCCTGGCATAGTCTTACATCTAGCCACAGAACTTAGCACCTCTGCATGACTTCAACTCAGAACTAGGGCAAACTAATTGGATTCATCTCGGTTCTTTTGAATATTGAGAGTCAGTCACTTAAATAATACAAAATTTAGGAAGAGCTATTCCACACTAAACAAATATAAAAGCTCTGCACTTCTTTCTGCAGAAAGACTACAGCCTCGCACAGTTCCCAGAAACAGTGGACAGTCTGCGCATTCACTAGTGACTATGTAAAAAGGGCACTGACATTTCCTTTTCTGGAGTCAAATGAAACAGATTATGAGGCAACTGGTTAGTACACAGCATCTTCTGAGAAGAAGAGAAGAGAACAGAAGTACTGGTCAGCCTATGATAAATCTCTGCACGGGGGAGTGGAATGGCTCAAGGCCTCCAGTGGTACAATACACCGACAAGTGACAGGATGCGGTCACAGCTCCACCCTGTGTCTGGATAAACACATTTATAAACTTGATTATGTCCTCCTTAAACTCATTCTGGACTAGTGTTCTATAATTTGAGATGGGATTTAGAGATGCAACTTGCTCTTATATGAGTATAAAGATCGATTAGATACAAGAACAGTTTAGGCTTTGAAGCCAAACATGTCCCATCAAAACTGACGTATAAAACTTATTAAAAGTACTAATTCAGTAAAGGATGCTACAAAATCTCCTGAATGAAAACTGTGCACTACGCAGGTGCTTATTCTTTTAAAGATCTGCTTATGGAAGTGTTGCAAAGTATTTTAATGAAGGAGAAAGATATCAGTATACACTCAATCTGGCACTAAATGGAAAATTTTTTTCCCTCTCAATTAGTCACACCCTTTTCTTCAGAAAGATTTCATATTAAAGTAATAAGAAGCTCAGAACCTGCTCAAAGCCAGTTCAAAAATAGTAAACACCCTTTCCACTTTATAACAGTAATATTAGATCAAGTTAATGCATGCTTCAGAAAGAATCAGCACAAGGCAAGAAAAAGATCAGAATCCTGTACCCCAATGTGCTCTAAGAAGCACTAAATACAGAACTCTAGTGCTTCCATACAATATAGGCTGCAGTTCCAAAGTGGAAAATCATGTCTGATCAAATGAAACTAAAGTAACAATCCCAGTTATAATCACTTTACAACTGCCTTGGGGAAAACTTCAATAATAGAAGGAAAACAATAAGGCAGAAACGGACTGTATTTTTGTTTCCTACAACTGTCCTTCTCATCATCACCTACAGACAGACCAGCTGCTTGGAAGAAAACAGTACTGTCTCTCTAAATTTCAGACAAAAGTACATACATTTGTATTAGCTGAGCCAGAACTCAAAGTAAGGGAGCTCATTAACTCAGCAACAAATTATGCTATTACATGACTTCACAATGTGGACTGCAGGGGAAATGAAATAACCCGTGAGTTGCGCTCTGAGCCTATCACCTGAATGGGATGCCGAGGTTCAGATGGGGCTGAGGTTTAACCCTTTGTCAGCTCACTCATACACAAATCAGTGCTGAGCCCTAAATCTGACAGAAGGCCTAAATGCTCACACTCCATTTCTTGCATCTCTTACTCAGAAAAGTAACAACCTACTTAACATTTAACCTATTGAAATTGACAGTTGTATCAGTAAAACAAGGCCAGAACCAGGCAGCCACTGCTGAGATGGCTTTAGTAGTGTCCTCCACCGCCACAGCGATTCTTCAGAGGTCCAATTTAAAGCATTCTATTACTTTTGCTGATCTCATTTTTCAATCACCAAATGAGAAAAAGAACTGTGAAGAATAAAGTGCATTGCAGAATGCGAGCATAACTCTTTTGCTCCATAACAGCTTTGTTACAACTTTATTAATATAAGAAAAATATATGAATATGTGTGTATCTTTTACAGTACAGAAGCAGAAGCTTTTAAGTCTGAAAAGTAGACAGGGAAAAAAAAGTACAGGTACGTTAAGGAAGTTTTGAGCATCTCATGTACAGAAGCCATCCATTTTTTTCCTGAAAGAAAATGTTCCTTATTAGTCAGACAAGATAACAAAGACACCTTCATAAAGTTAAAACAACTGGATTGTTTGCTATGATTATTTTTAGCTCATAAGCAATTTCAAGAATAAGCTAATGATAACTGGGTAAAAAGAACTATCATAATAAATAAATTTAACAAAACTGTGTGACCTGTAGAGCCAGTCAACATGCATCAGCTAATGGGGAAAAATATTTGGGAAATAAACTACACAAAACACTTCCGAAGAGGCAGTTCTTCGGAAGCTTCCCCCAGGTGATGTTTGTTATCAGGCCACCTGTTTTAAGAGACTACAGTACAGTAAACAAAGTAAACAAAACTGTCTGAAATCTTTATGGAATTTTTTTATTCTGTCAGTAAACATACTAACTCTGTTTTCCTCTTTCGTAACTTCTCACTGTACTTTCAACAGCTGCTGAAATATGAGCACAGCAAGAACAGCAGCAGTTTATTTGTCTCGCAGTGATTTTAAAATCAACCTTCACCTGTTTTCCTCTCTGTAGCTTTAGTTAAATAACATGCATACATGTGCACACAGAGCTGAGATTCCTCCGTCTCAGAGAAGGAACTGGAGCACTGAACTATTCTAAACAAACATTAAAAAATAAAAAAAAATTAAAATGAAGGAACAACGCCACTAGTTTGTACAGAAGCAAGAAGGAGGAATACCATTCTAGTTCTGTTGAACTTGATGCAAAAGCCTTGCATAGTTCAACAAAAGCAGAAACAAATAACTCCAATGGGAAAAGCAGACATTTAAGTTCTCAAAAACACGCTTTAATTTTACCCCCAAGGTAGGACATGACCTTCCCATCAGCGCCACTGTACTTGCAATAAAAAACAATCATTTCTCCTCACCCTATTTTTTCTCACCTCCTCTTCCTAAGGGCATCATCTTTGATTATTATTGGCAGGCCAACATTCTACATGCTGTCACCCTATGCAACAGGATGCACTGCTTATTCATTCATGTCTGCTCTTGTCTTGCCTGACAGTTCTTCCACATCAATATTTAAGATTCTCGCTACTTTCAGCTAAATGGTGTAAAAATCTTTTGCTCCTGATTTTTTAAAAAGCACATGCAAAGCAGCTGTGAATTCTTGATTTGCTCATGGATTTCTGTCTATATGTTGCTCGGGTTTTTTCCAGATTAAAAAAAAAAAGCTCAAAAAGACCTGCAGTAGCTGAGACAATAAGTTCAGTAGAAGTTATTACAGACTAATGACCCAATGATTCATTCAGGCACAGCAGGTAAACAACAGACATCAGAAGATAGTATCAGGCTAAACACAGAAAAACTGCCACTTCTGTGTGACAGATTACGTGACAAACTGCAGCTCCTCAATATGACATTTTTGCGCGCACGTTCGCACAAAGTAAGAACAAGATAACTCCTTTACAGTTTCAGAGTCAGAAGTAAGAGTGTGGAGATGAAAATGAAAGCCATTCTGAGCTTTAGAGCACATCTGTGCTCTAAACTGCCCATACACATACATACCAGCCAACACTCCAATTCAGTACAGAGATGGCAGAAAGCTCTGCCTGAGAGAGCACTGGCACCAGTTATTGCACTCCTACAATTAAGTGAAAGCACTAGGTTGTTACTCTCACAATCAACTTGGGATCACTCATCTGGTTGGACTGTACAATTAGAATTCAATCTTCTAATTTTTTGCAGCTTTAAGACATAAATATAATACTGTTGCTCAAAGAACTGTTATTTTCCCAGAGCTTACTGGCAGCAAAAGTGAAAGATATTTTTTTTTTCTTAATGAATAATGTTTTATTTTCCTATGAATATCACTTCCTTCCCAAACCTCACACTGTTCTCTTTTCCAGGTCTCCAATACACTGAGTGAGGATATTATTCTTCTCTGTAGATTCCCATGACATTCTGGCAGAAATTACAGCTGTGACAAGCTTTGGATTGGAAGTTTTGCTTACTGATGTGTTTAGCTTTGTGACTGGCTGCTGTTGAAAATTAAATAAAGAAAACAAGCAGTATTTCTTTCATAAAGTAACAAGTGACCTGAGGGAAGCCTCTCTGGGTGGGAATGGAAAAAATCCCAATTTTGATGTTGTACAAGTTTCCATGAGTTAAGAACCTTGGGAGATGCTGGCAATTCCATTTCTTTTCACCACCCTCCACTCCTCCCCATTTATTCTCTCTAAATTCTAAAGGTTTGCTTTTCTACAAGTTACTGCAAAACATCCAGAATACATCTGACACTCCACTCCTACCTGCAGTGTTTCAAGTGACACTAGATACAAGACTTACATTATGTTAACATTTGACAATAATATATTAACTGTCAGTCACATGCCTAGAACTCAGCAGCCTTATGAAAAGGAAAAACCTGACTGCTAAGATATCCCATTACTTAAATTCTTTGCTCCAACGTAAACAGAGAAAAGTTACACATGCAGCCTCACGCTACGTGAGCTATCAGCTTCTAGCCCAGTAAATGTATCTTAAATAAAGCCAAGGGGGGCATTTAAACTTCCTGCTGAGGCAGCATGTTCCACCATTGACTATGGTGGAGTGTAATGCAGCACTGAGTGGACCCCACTACGAAGAGCAGATCATTTTTTCAGGCCTCAGGACATTTAAGACCACGGTTATGACAGAACAGATCTTTTTTCAAGGGCGATGGATGGCATTATGACCATCTCCAACAGCAAGGGTAGGCTTGTACCCCACCAAACCAGCCACTGCCACTACAGGAAACCCTCAAGCTTCGAGGTTGCGGGCCTTGAACAGATCTCCAGCAGCAATGGAGGGCCTAAAGGCATGGGCAGCTGTGGGGACAGGAGGAGAGCTGGCCGGGATGGTGGGGACAGAGCCAGGCTGGGGGGTGCAGGCCCAGCTCTCACCCATTACCTCTCCCCAGCCGGCCCGGCCCCAGCTCAGCGCACCCCGGCCCCGCACCAGGCCTGCGCGCTCCCAGCCACCCTGTCACTTCTCACACGTTTTCACAGGGCGGGGAGGGAACGAGACCCCATAAAACCAACTCCTCCGAGGGGCGGCCGCGCCGGGGCCGCCCAGGGCCTGAGGGGAGGGCGGCTGCCAGCGGCTTCCTGAGGGCGGGCGGCCCGGCCGAGACCGGGCCTCAAGCGCCGGGGTGCTGGGGGGAAAGGGCCGCAGGGCGCGGATGGGGAGCCGAGCGGCGCCTGCCTCGTTACCTCTCCATCGCCCGCACCGTGTAGCTGACGAGCGGCCTCCCCTGCACGGCGCAGAACTGCTTGGGGGTGGCGCCACCCAGGCGCTCCCCGCTCCCGCCCGCCGGCAGCACGGCCGCCACCGGCAGCACGGCGGGCCCGGCGCCGCGGCTGGGCTCCATCTGTGCGGGGCGCCGCGACCGCTCCGCAGGAACGCGGCCGGGGCGGCGCAACCGCCCGCCCGCCTGTGTGTGTGTACGCCCGCGATGTCCGCAATCCAAAGAATCCAGCGCCCGCCCGCTCGCCTGCCCCCAGCGGGGACCGGGCCTTTACTCCTCGCCCACCCCGCGCTACGCGAGGCCCCGCGGAGGCGTGCGCGGCCGCGCAGCCCCGCAGCGTAGGGCCAGACCCCGGCGGGGATAGGAATGGGGAGCCCACCCGCCTGGGGCAGCCCGGGAAGGGAGACAGC